AATTGGACTTCCGCACAGCCAAATGTATCATTTGACCTAATGTGCAGTGGGCAGTAATCTCAGAGCTCCTAAGTAGCTCTGTATCTATGCAAGCGCATTTCTGTTCCACGTTTTGCGAGACTGTCAGCCCTTTCGTTGCCTCAAACCATTCATGTCCCCGTACCGATCACAGCGTTACTCTAATGCAGGCTCCCACTTGGTTCAAGCATTGCATTGATGCATTTTCTAATGAGTCGAAGGAGTTTATCGTTGACTAAATATTCGGCATAATATTCATTTTGGCCCCCGTTTGTACTTCTACGAAAACATTCACGAACACAGGCTTCTAGTGCGAAGACTGGAAAATGATAGCGAATGTGCACATGTGCAAACTTTTGTGGAAACTTTTGGGATCATCCAGGAATGGCTTGANACGCTTTTCATGCCTCGAGATACTTTGCCCCATCTGAGAACTCAATTTCAATATACACTTTATTTCTATTTAGTAAATTACAATATTCAACAATTTTAATTGAGCTTAATACCGTTCTTAATGCAACATTTTGTGCAAAAAAGCAACAATAATTTAATATACTATTATAGTAAAAAAGAATCAGTAAGCATTTTCCAATTTCAGTGGGGCTAATTTTATTTTCTCTGTAGATTTTTATTTAACATATGTACATAAAATAAATATCTTCGAACATCGTACTTGTCTGATTCAGACATACCTATTTCAGACTTCCATTGTGTTGATATACATACATATGTATGTATGTACAAATGTTTAAACAATTATTTTTGCTCAAATCTTATAAATATAAAAATTACAGTTTAGTGTTGAAAGTGGTCAAGTTCATTCAAATGACTGCTTTCAGTATTTTCATACATACACTCCTATTATTTATACCGTCTTCTGCTTATCTCTGATTATTGTAGATTAATTTATTATTTAGTTAGAAACCAGATTAAGATTTTCGTAAAATAACCACTTCTTTTTTACGCGGACATTTAATGTTAAGCGAATGTAAGTATGCTAATTAAAAATATTCGAACAACATTATTTTTTCGTGTTTTGGGCTTATACATACATATGCGCTATACATGCATACGTACATATGTTTCTACATAATTTATGCGTACTAGTAATCCGAACTTAATTAATGTCTTTATTGTACATGCATTTGTTTTTGCGGTTTAGCATAAAGTATTTGGAATAATCATAAAATAAATATTTGCATTTTATGTAATCCAAGATTGTCATTACCTTGCGATGTCTTCAAAACACATAAGCTAATTTAATATTCTTTTTTTTGTCATCTCATTCATATTCGTATGTGTTAATGTATGAAAAAACGCTTAATCAATTTTGGATATCGGAAAATACATACATACATTAATATATACAGATGTACGCTATATTAGTTTTATACAAAAACAAAACCTAATTTAGCTACTAATTATCAAATAGTTTTATGTAAAGGCAAAACTTCAAGTCTTTTCAGTAGCAGGTTGGGTTGTTGTTGTTGTTATTGACTTCCATTATGCCAAAATTGCAATGGAACAATATTTCTCGCCACACAAATATTTATATGCGAATATTTTACCAACCATTTCATATTTTTTTTTTTTTAACTTCTAACCACTTACTATTATTTTTACAAGTACATACATAGTAATCTTTTATACTACAATTTTCTTGGCGTACTTAAACTAATTTCAATCACTACTTATGGCATTTCTCCTATAGGTGGGCGCACATGTGTATCAAAATAAGTGACTGAGTTGGCCTTAATTGCTTTTTGCTTTTGTTTTTTTTTTCATTACAAATATTTTCCCTACCAAATTCTCCTCTTTCGAAGGAGGTGTTAGGGATTTGAAGTGAAGTGTCTCTAATACTTTAATTATTGTTTTGTCAACGAGTTGAAAGACATGTTTAGTTTTTATATAAATTTACATAAAATTCTGCTAAAACTTGTAAACTCATTGCAAAGCCTTCTCCAAGACATGTGGCTTCTCGTTTTTCAATGGTTCACCCTCCTCCGTATTGACCACCGATCTACGTATTCTCTCTGGTGGGTTGTTCCACGGCTGCAGCTCACCAGAGCCCATTATGATATAAACTATAGCGCTGGAAATATATGTGCCAGCCAGAATACCGAACACAATTTGCCATTGATGGTAGGATTTCTAGCGGATATAGAAAATGGTTTTTAAGTACAAGTATTTATGGCAGGAAATTTTATTTGATGCTTATGTTACTTACGTCATCATAGGTGAGCGCACCAACCATCCACGTCGATAAGAATCCACCAAATGAAGAGAGGGTATTAGCCAATCCAAAAATGGTGCCGCTGAAATTGGGCGCAATATCTAGACCGTTACCAAGATAACCAGCCGTTACAGCGCCATGTGTAAATAATGCCAAGGTAAATATCGTCACGGACCATGCCGCTGTGCGACCCAAAAATACTTGAGCAATCATCAAGGCGCCAGGTGATAAAAGTGCTGGAGAAATGAATTATGTACATTAGACCCTTGCAGTTTCTCTAATATATAAAAATTTGTATTATTAAATTTAATTGAGACTTACCGAAAGCTGTAAACACTTTTCTTGTAGCTGTCGTGGAGAGCACACCTTTCTGGCGCAGGTAATCAGCAAAACAAGACGAGCTGAAAGCCATAATATATTTGCCCAAGTATGGCAACGAAGAGTAGAGGCCGTTCTGAAAATTTAATGAAGATACAAATTCTGTGAGCGGAAATTTATAAACAAAGTGTAGAGTCCTACGATGTTGCAGAAGGCTGGTCAGAAGACCTGGGGCTGGATGTACAGCATTTTTTAAGGCATTTTAAGGCTGACCTACGTTCGAACGTCTTGGAGGACAGCGAAAACTTTATTCTTGCTAAAAATGGGCAAAAGTAGCCAGGCATATCCCAAGTAATAAATATATGATCATTATTCTAACATCATATTTTGATAAGAAGCTGGAGAGGTCAATAGACGTATACAAGATCGGTTGATACCTCTATACAATGTTTTTAGATGAATAGAGGCAGCTGTGAGGAACGCAGAATTCGTGTTAGGCGTCTTCTTGGACATAGAGGGGCCTTTAACAATGTCTGAAAATACGACATTTTAAACGGAATAACTATGATAAGGGTTCACCCCGTAATTTCGAACTGGACAAGCTTGGTGTTGAGCTGTGGAAGTGTTTTGGCGCGGTGGGAAAGGCACGAGCCACCAAACTGGCACTGGCTCGGTGAATGTCTATACAGATGGATAAAAGATGGAGAAATCATAGAGGAGGCTGTCGACCGCGCGAATCTCGGCGAATCTCTATATCAACAGTCAGGCTGTGATAAAGGCACTTCTATCGTACAGCACTTTCTCAAGAACAGGTCTGGATTCGCGAAATATAGGTACGGACGTACAACTGTATTCTGTTACCGGCTGGTTTGCCAAAGAAGGCGTTCTGTCGGAAGCTATGCTGATAGATAAAGTGCCGCCTTCCCTCCAAGCGATTAAACGGAAGCTTGACCTGTTCATGATCGGGAAGGCACTGCGGGTGTGGACTGAAATAAGTGCGTATGACATAAAGCTCACGAAGTTTCTTCTATACTGCAAGAGGCAGGACGCTAGACTACTGGTGGGTGTTCTAACGGGCCATTGCCTGCTGGCATCGCACGCCTTTATAAATGCTCTGACCAATAATAAGGTCTCTAGGAAATGCAAAACTAAAGAGAAGACGGTGGAAGATATCCTCTTCAAGTATCCTGCCTTTAGCAGACTGCGGATTAGTTTCCTGGGAGCAGGTTTTCTGCCTAATATGGAAGTCGCCGTCAAAATAGGGTACAGCAAGGTGTTCCAGTTTGCTGCAGGTGGCCAGAGATTAGCTGTCTAATGTGCTCCTAGTTTATCTGGTAACGCTATGGACCCTTAAGGTCTCTGCGAAGCAACGAAGCTGCAAGCCAGCTTACCTAACCTTTGTGAGGTATATTTTTGTATACATGTTTCGGCTTACATTTTATATGCATGAACATATATATATATATATCGTTTCCTTCATACAAAAATGACCTAACTCATTTTCTTTTCAAATCAGTTTTGTACAAAATTCTGCCGAATACTCACTAAAAACCTACTATAATTTAAAAATAGCTACTATAGCATTCAACAAAAAAAAATCGCGCAAAAGGGACTTGAGTTTTTGAGTTTTTTCGTGACTCCGTAAAGAAACAAAAATGTTAGATTTGACCTTTCTATATAAGGTATGTATACAACAAAATACTCTACCTGTTTAATATTGAAGTGTAATATCTGATCCATGAATGTCGGCAGCTGATTTACTACAGTGAAAAATCCGAAAACAGATAAACCATGCGTAATAATAATTGCCCACACTGGTCCTGAGCAGAATAGATCCCGCCATGGCACATAACTGGGGCGTTTCTTTGAAGTCGAGGTTCCAATAGCGTCTTCAATTTCACGACGTTCTTCCGAACTAATACGTGGATGTGTGGCTGGAGTTTCATAAACAAAGGTGAACCAGCAAACAGACCACAATAGACCAACACCGCCTAAAAAATAAAATTCATATACACATACATATACTTAAATATTTATTTAACAATTTATTATCACACAATATTTATTAGTACTTAATTTATATAAACCAAATTGTTTTTCTGGCGCTTTAGAATGCTTAGATATGCTAGTAGAGCAAGAATGATAGAATACAAGATTGAGCGTAATTTTTGCATGACGTCGACTTAGTGCAATTGCGAGAGAGAGAAATGCCAAAACGCATAGGAAAATATGTAAACAATGCGGAAAAATGTATTAATATCCATTCCAATTAATAAATATACGAAGTTTAATAAAATAGGATCACGTAACAATGATTTTGGGCATGTAGCCCTTTAGGTCAGTACGGTTTTCAGCACATGCCGGATGTTGGAAAAATGCATGAAGTTATATGTACGTAGATATGTACAGAAAAAACTTACTTATAGCGCACGCTTGCCTTTTGTTTTCACTTTTACAATTTTTTGTAAAACTAAGCAGAAATATTAACGCACAAATAGTTAAATTTGCAATGTTATTTGCCCACTGTTTTTGGATTAGAGGACGGAGGGGGAGGGGGCGTGGGTCTTGATATGCAACCCAATAGGAAGAGCACATTTCACACTTTGTAAAAAGTCACACCTGACCCCTCGAAACCTTCCACAGACCCCTGGGTAACCATTGGTAAATTGTCTAAAATTAGGTAAACGAGTATAAACATTATTTTTTTTTTTTAAGAATATCTTTGTATTGTCAAAGGTACTTATTCGACATTTCTTGTTCATATACCTACGGCTACGCCATCCACAGTATACACAAAAAAGTGCATTTTTTAGACCGAATTTATTAATAAATTAGTGACCGCAAATTACAGGGTCTACAATAAAGTGTAGACCCTTGGCTATAAGTGTGAGTAAGATTTTTTTAATCGGGTCACCCACTCGGACACAATAGCCCAAAATCATTGGGCAAATAACTGAACCGTAGCCAGTAAAATCTTTATTTGGTTTTCCTCAATCAACAATTGCACCAAGATGAGGTCACGCACACAGCTGATTCTGTCAAATTCACAAACAGCGGATTAGCGGTACCGCGATGGACGTATGAACGTAGGAATCCTTAAACTATCTATCTATTTTGTTAATTACGTTAATCTTCAATCAACATTTGCGACTAGAAAGCACTTGCTTTGAATATACCCATTGAAATTCCCAAAGCAATTGTGCCAACTACTACAAAGCCTTCCGTTTCCGCATAAAAAGGAAACTTGGCAGCACTGAATAGCATTTGCGCGCAACTGACAAAAGCATTGTTTTTTTTTGCGAATTTCAATAAAACTAATAAATACATATAAATATATACATATAAACTAAGCGTAATGTACTTGTGTTGTATTTAAGTCATTGCACTTACCAGTTAAGTAGAAAACGCTGGGCCAACCCCAAATGGATATGAAGAAACCACAAACAGGCATCGTAATTGCTGCGCCCAAAGAGGAGGCTGTACCGAAAGAAAAGTGCAATTAAACACTTGTTTCAATAATTATCTATTAACTAGGTACTTACCCATCATATTTGACATAAATTTGGAACGTTCCATTGGCGGTATCCACACAGCGGCCACCGGGTGTATAGCTGGCCATGAAGCGCCCAACATAAAGCCCAAAACAACACGTACAATAATCAACATAACATAGTTAATATGTGCTGCCAGTGGTGTAATCAATGTAAGTAAACTAGCCCAAAGCATAGAATGTCCAAATACACGTCGTCCACCGATCAATTCAGCAAGTCGGCCGCCTGGCAACTCAGTCAGTATATAGCCCCAGAAAAAGGAGCCCAGTACAAAGTTCGTTTGATAAGAGTCCCATGGAAAATAATCGTTCTCATCGTTACTAGCAGGCGGCAGCTGTGTTGTTGTTGTTGTTGAGATTGTTGTGGCATTATCATAGTTTTGTGTGGCATTTACTACTTTGCTGACGTTGCGTGGTGGTGAATGAACATCTGGATGAACCATTGCAACAATAGCAATTGTCAGATTCACTCGCAGTGCATAGTTCAACATGAAGCCAAGCATGGTAAGTAAATTGAGTACTTGACGACATGATAGCATATCTATAGAAATTAAATGAAATGAATGGAAAAGTTTGAAGTTAGTTTACGTAAATGCGATTTAAATAAATGTTGGGTGTTTACAGATTATGTTCTTAAATATTGCAGGGTACATATTTAAAATTAAATGGGAAACATTTTGCTGATGCTAAAGAAGCTGATCCATGCAAGTTATGGAGCATGTGAGCTAAATTTCACAAATTCGACTGTAGCCAATAGGGAATACTTTGAAAATCGTTTAGTCTTTATAAAACCTATTTATGTAATGTGTGTATGTATGTCCTTAGCAAAAATTTCCAAGTCCGTTATAATTATGAATGCAAAGAAATTGTACTAAATAATCATGAGTCGCAAAATTCACACTCGACTTGGTTATAATAGTAAAAAATTCTTAACATTTTTAAATGCTGATTACAAAAACAAATACACGACCAACACTCAAGCCCTTTTTTAGCGTATTCAGTTAACATTTATTGCACGTGATGTTAATGATCTGTTTTGTTGCTCAATTCACATGTCCTATTCAATTCGTGGGCAAATATGTAAATTAAAGAATAAAATTAACAAATTTCGTGAGCTGAATGCGCCAGTAGATTTTATTGGCGCTTTTATGTGCTCTTACCTGTTTCATTGATTAAAACTGATTAGCGAAATTAGCGCAAATGGGCGAATTGTCTAGCACACAAAGGAAATGCGCAGAATTTTAGGCTTTAAGAAATTTAGAGCATTGGCTCAAAAAGTGACTAATGATGTCATGCGATATGTAAGTATGTATTTTATTTAATTTTCCTTTTAACTAAAAGCTATGTATTAGGCAAACCATTTTGTTAAAAAACCAATTAGTAATCGAAAGTCTTTCCAAAAGATCCCCTTAGAAGCGGAAAGCAGCTTGTATCTTTTTTGCATTTATTTATCTATTTTATTTATTTATTATTTAAATTTATTAACTTGTGATAAAAATA